CCCAAGTGGAAGACATAAAAAACAAGGGAAGTACAATTCCAAGCAAAGAATTAAAGAAGGCAAAAAAAAAAACAAGTCTAGCAGCAAAGAAAGAATTGGAGGCGATTCAATTAAGACTAACCTAGTAACCCTAGCTCTGGTGATTGGCGAAAAGAGACAAACTGTGCTCGTAGATATCACACCATTAATGGTTGCTCCGGCCACTGGCCAGCCTCCTCTTGAAGCTGGTCAGTCGTCCCTACCATCCCCACAGCCCCTCCAAACATCTACGAGCCCAAAAATAATTCAAAACTATGCGCAATTAGTAAAACTTAAAACATTAAATGATGCCATGCAGTTGTCGACTCATGTAGCCCTAAAACCAACCAAGTATCTTCATAGAGAGCCCATTGTACGTTGGAAGAAGAATGAAGTAAAGCAATCCATTGCCCAACAAGGATTACAACTAGCTGTTCTTGGCAAGTTTTCTTATGATAAACTAGTTATTCAAGAATTACGCAAGGCAATACCAATTCAATGTGAACTGAAGGGTCCTTGTTTTATTGGATTGATCGAGGATAGTCATGTTCTTATTAAGCTTTCATTAATGGAGGATTACATTCACTTATTGTCAAAGCCAGCCTTTTATTTAAAAGTTCAAGGACATATGTGGAAGATAAGATGCACCAAGTGAAATCCATGGTGAAAACCTGAAGAAGAAACTCATGTAGCCATAGCATGGATATCTTTTCAAGACTTGCCACCCAACTTCTTTGGTAAGGATTTCATATTTTCTTTGGCTAGGGAAGTTGGAACACCTTTACATGTTGATTTGGCTACACAAAATGGCACACGACCTAGTTGTGCTAAGGTTAAGATGGAGGTAAATTTATTATCAAATTTTCCACAAAGAATCAAAATTATAGAGTAGGAGGATGAGACTGGACCTGAAGAATCAACACTACAAGAAAATAGATCATTAGCGAAGGGGAAAATGGTCCCTAAAAGTGTAATTCTGGTCCCAAAACGTAAATAGCGACCAACAAAACCTGGCCACTCGTCATTAAAGGCTCCGCCGCTAAAGGCCAATAGCGACGAGCTTTAGCTACTGGTCCTTAAAATGTTTTAGCGACTGGAAATTATTTTGTCCCTAAAACACTTTTAGAGACCAGATTTCTGGTCCTAAATCATAGATCAATAGGTCCCTACAACATGTTTAGCAACCAGTATCCACTGGTCCTAAAAGGTACTTCTACATAACAGTATCTGGTTCTTAAAGAATCATTTCCTGTCATTTCTATTTGAAATTATACACTTATCAATATAGATAATCACATGAACATAAATGAAATTATCAACAAAATCATGCTTTCACATCCAAATATGCATTTACAAATATAAAGTTGGTAATTAATTACAAAAATATATTAGCATCCCACTGATAATTATACAATCAAGATGCATATATCACCCCTATTGTTTACACAACCTCTGGGCAAATATGGTTTCCTAACTGCATAGCAAAACGCATGATAACCATGTTCTCAACTTGTACGAAGTCTTCAAAGCTTGCATCTTCAATTGTAACCTCAACTTTTCAAACCCTGAAACAATAATAAGTAATTTATCTTTAGAAAATTATAAGGATCAGATTGAGTATCTAAAAGAAAACATAAATGGAGAGTTACACCTGAATATTGCATGATTCCTTTTCCTTTATAGCATGTTATTTTCGTACATAATCCAATTATATTTTTTCAAATATGGATTAATATAAAATAACTTATCCATGTTTATGAAATACATTGTCCAAGTAATAATATACTGTTTCACAACTTTCAATTATGTAAACTCGTTTAACCCAATCTGCAGTGAACCTCCTTTTCTCAGGTAAGACACAATCTTCAAGTAATCAAATATTGGCAATGAGTTCCTACTCAACACATAAAATATAATCTAGAATGTACTAAGTACACAAGTTATTAAAACACAAACTCATGGCATGTGATAGTGACTAAACTCACCCAAACAATTCAAGGAGGAGATACTTCTTCATTGCCGCTTCAAGAAGCTGAATTACAGGAAAGAGTAAGGTTGTTGTTAACTTTATAATCAGCAATTTTGAGAGCTAGATATCGAGCAAATTACATAAATAAGAGCCTAAGATAAATGACAATACACAATCTACTGAAACTACCAACCATTCTTCACATATGTTTGTTCAAGATAGGATAGGATAACTTTAAAGTTCATAAAGAGAAAATTATATATTTTAATATAAATTTTCACTACTCTTTCTCTGTCAGTTATACTAAAAAACTAGGGTATACCCCTGAATTTCTCAACAATTCTAACCTCCATCCTCTGCAAAATTTGCAACTGTTAACTTCGAATGTCTCTCATATAACTTTTCTATCACGTCGACTGATTAAGTATCTGTTTGCGAACTCTAATTTTTCTTATTCAATCACTGTCCCGTAAAGACAAATAGAACTTAGAAAATGAAGATATCTCAAAATTAGAATTCAATAGCAGACTGCAATTTTAGTTACCTTGTTTAATGTTGCTGGTTTTTCCATTCAATATTTCTCCAACACAATATTGCAATAAGACTACAACTTTTTGAAGAAGCTCCTTGAGATATCTTCATTTTCTAGTAACCTTGTTTAATCTTGCTGCTTTTTACCCTACTGCAACATCATCTACTGTAACACCCCGGAAAAAAAAATTCGAATTACTTGAGCGCTAGTAAGAAAGTTGATGTGTGCTTATTATATTATTTTGTGTGCAGACAAGGACTATTAATATAATGGATATCAATTGGATATGATAATAAGTGTACGAGGCATATTATAAGTGATGTGGGGTCTAAGGAGAGCCCTAAGTCCAAGTCAAGTTGGAAATTTCATGATAGACTAAAGTCCAAATGAGTACGCACAAGATCAAACTTTGGACGAGCATATCTATATATATATAAGGAGTTATGTGATGGATGACCTATAAAATTAAAGGTCTTCGAGTCTAGTTTTTGAAGCTTCAAACCGTTCATCATTTGGACATTCATACAACCAGTTATGACCAAATTATCAAAGGCTGGCGGAGGAGTCTGCGGATGCGAAGCATCCGAGGCCGCATCCGAAAGAAAGGCTGGGAGTGAAGTGCTGCCATAGCATCCAGGTCCGCATCCGAACTTCAAAGAGGAGTGAAGTGGGGATGCGAAGCATCCATGGCAGCATCCGAAACCCAGAAATCTGGGCCTATAAATATAATACAATTTCGGAGTTCATTTTCCCCATTTCTTTTGTACAAATTTTGGAGCTCTTCTCCACTCTCTCAAGACCACCAACTCTCCTCCTCTTCAAGGTAAGCAATCCCCATTAATTTGGTGTGCAATTACATCATTTCTACACTAGTATTGATGAAATCTACACATAAAATACATAAATCTTCAAGAAATTTTTTCAAAAACTCAAAGGAGGGTTTTGCAAGATTTCTTTCAAAAAGTAATCTTATACCCTTAGACTTACATGTACGGATATATTATGGAAATATGAGTATGAATTACGTAGTTTCACTCATGGTATGGTGATTGGAAGACATAAGTTCCCAATTTAAATACATAACCATTGTAGAGATTGAAAGGTGATTATGGGATGGAAATTTGTTGGTTGGGTGAGAATGGTTGGTCACACATGTGATGTTAGGATTATAAGTTGTTAAAGAATAATAGTGGGATGAATTATTGGTAAATGATTGTAGTTGGAAGAACTAATTCTATGGTTAAGAAATGTATAAATGTATGCCCACTAGGTGTTTGGTAAATTGTCTAAATGGCCTAAACTATGGAATGGGTTACTAATATTGGTCCCAATGGATATT